TTACTATACAGGGCATCTGTGTTGGTGTTCCACGTTAACCTGCTATCAATAAAAGTTCCAAGGTACTTGTATTCAGTGACTGTCTCAATTGGTTCATCACTAATGAACAAAGGTGGTACTGTTGAGGAGTTAGTTCTGAAATCAATACACAGTTCTTTTGTCTTTTTCACATTTAAAATCAAATGATTCTCTGTACACCATGATGTGAAATTCTTTACATTATCTCTGTATCGTCGCTCTGATTCGTAATCATACATCTGACCAACAATGGCTGCATCATCAGCAAACTTCACATTTATACAGTTATTTTCTACGCTAGTGCAGTCATTGGTGTATAGAGTGAACAGGACTGGTGACATAACACAACCTTGCGGCACTCCTGTATTGGTAACCTTCATGGCCGATACACTGTCGTTAACTTTCACACACTGAAATCTTGCATGGAGGAAATCTCCGATCCATCTAATCAGTTGTGAATTCACGCCTATAGTTTGCAGCTTTCTTACCATGATGTGCGGTTGGATCGTGTTGAGGGCTGAAGAGAAGTCAACGAATAGTATTCTAATGTATTGTCATTTGTAGTTGAAATATTTTAGATATAATTGCCAGGTTTAAATGGATATCTTTGATACACTAGTAAAGTACTGTCGGAAATAGAAAAAACTGTTTCGCATTTATATCTACAATTTATGTAGTTAAATATGTGAAAGTGTGAAATATCTGTTAAACTAAGTTTGGCCTAAGTACAATCTCAGTGGTAGGGAGATAGGAAACGTAGAAAAATAACTTTACTAAGGAGAGATTAGTGCCGAAATGAGCAATGCGGTTTTTTCCTGAGTCCAAAGCGACTTATTGGAACAGACAATGACTTTATCCAAATTAGTGTGCGATGAGATTGTATTTCATTTTTTAAATGCCCATTTTTAAATTAACTTAGCTTCATTATAAACGAAAGCTGACGTAGAAAATAATAACTTTAATGTTGCAACTCTTAAGGATGTAGCTACTATGGAGTCTCACTATCACTATAAAAAGAAACAGATAGGAGGGTTCGTCTCAAACGGTGTTGTCAGGACGGGTGTCGCAGACGGTGGTTGGGGTCGGGCTGGGGATAGAGATATCAGCTGAGATAAGATAATCCTTTAAGGGAATTAAACTGGGGAAGTAAACGGCATGTCATAACAATCTTCAAATAATATCCAGTCTTGTCGATCATCGGGCGGTCATGCCACCTATATATTTTGAGACATTTAATACGATGGCTGATTTAAGCTTTTCTATGTGTATCGTATTCTTTTACATGCCTCAACATAACTTTATGAAAGAAAGACACGTGAGATGTTAATCAATAGATGAGACATTTTACCCACATGGGAAAGCATACAATATCTTTGAGATGACCCCTTGTGCTCGTAGGCAGCACATGCATTTCATGTCAGGTGAGTCGACGGTCCGTCGTCATACCTGGCTGAGCGATCTAATTGCCATCTATAGTCTGATGTATTGTTTTCAGCAGCTATTCGTATTTCGTATTTGCCCGATTTTGCGAGTAAACTTGCTTTTCTGGATATCCTATTACGCATTTCACTGAACGCCCAGTTAGGCCGATGTGGGTTATTTCGACATATGCTATTTGCAATTGTGTAAACTTTAGGGATACAGAGTAACAGCCTAAAAACAGTTGTTTTTTCCGACAGTACTTTTAGATTTCCGTCAACAGGCTTTTAATTTCTAACTTTATTGATCTCTAATATAATTATAAATTGTTCTCGTCACGATATGTGACGCTGAAATGCTGATATTGCTGATGTGACGATAAATATTAACTCACTCACTCACTTATGTTGTTGAATTTTAAAACTAGTTTAGTTGATGTACTTGGAGACACTAAGACACTTTCTCTTACAGTTTGTAAACAAACTTTAGGGCACTGACTTACCCTTTGCCCCTAACTGTTATTAGTTCATGGCCGGGAAGACTAAAATCGTGACGCTTCTCGGTTCAATTTATGAGCGTAGCCTTCGCGGTACTTGCAATGCAATGTTATGGCTGAATGAACACGGCGCGCCTCACTGGGAGGCCCTGACTAATTACAAAGAAAACAGGATTAACGTGGACAGTCTTGACAGTTTTTTTCGGGACATGTATCTTATACTCATGCCAATAATGGTTGTCACCCCTCCCACCCCAACACCACTAGCCCCCACCCCTCTCCCCAAAAGATTGAAGGGGGTGACAACCATTATTGGCATGATAACATTATTCCCAACAAGTTGCTTATATTTTGACATGTTAGGCCATTTATGAAAATAATCACTGATAACAGAAGAAACGTTCATACGCCAATGCTTTACATCTAAATAAATAATGGAATTCGTCGCCAATTTCTTGAGAATTACACAATGTACAAAATCTCTCTTCACGAGGAATGTTCGACCAGCGACCCTATTCTATTGGCAATTTGTGATTACTTGTTCTAAAATATAGTAAAGGTTTATAAATGTTATATGTGATTAATAAATACTTTTCAAAACATGGTGAATCTTTAATAATGGAATAGTAGAAACCTTTAGGACACGATAGCTCTCCCGGGAAATCCGGGAAAATATACATTTTAGCCTACCCGGGACATCTGAAAAATAAATTTTAGCCTTCCCGGTACGTCACCGTCCCGGTTTGCTCCATTAGCTGAAAGATTACTTGCGCATTGACAGTTTTGTTTTATGTAAGCCTTGTTGTTTTAGATAAAGGTGCCAGTATGTAGGTATGTTACCTAGCATTAAATCAAGTTTGAAAACGAAAGTAACGCCCCGAAGGAAACGGTTCAGGAAGGGAGAACAGATGCGATTTGTATTTTGTGTGTTGTTTTAATAACAATGTTCTTGAGCTGCTCAAGAAATAAACATAAAAGTGTCAATGCTAGATTTAAAGTTTTTGTGATATACAGGCAAGTGAAGCGAAATATACAGCCATGTTATCAGTTTATCAACGTTTATCAGTTTTGAGTTCTCAACGCTACAAAGCCTGTCATTCATAAAACAATTCAATGTGTCATATTTTAAGCAGCAAAAACAGAAATATGATAATGTTTCTAATAATGTTTGGGTACACAAATATGTGTAGCATAAAACAAGTGAACGGGGAAAAAGAAAACTGTAATTTGAAACATTTTTTTTCCAGCCTTGTGATCTCAGCACAATAAAATCTTTATAAAACAACATAATGTGACATATTGTAAGCTGCAACAACTTGGATATGGTCATCAAACTAATAATGGTTGAGTGTTTAAAACATTTGTAACATGAACCAAGTGAAATGGAATAATGAAAACTGTAATTTCAAACAATTTTGTCAGTCTTGTGCTCGCAACACTACAGAGCTTTCCCTTCATAAAACAGCAAAGGGTGTCATATTATACCCTGTAACCAAATAAATTTGACCATGAAACATTTAACGTGTGGATTCATAACATTTCTAACGTAAAGACAAGTGAAGTGGGAAAAAACCCTGTTATTTAAACAAACATTTGTCAGGATTGAACTCTCATTAGTACAAAGTTTATCCTTCCAAAAACAACATGCATGCAGTGTCATATTTTAAGCTGCAACAACAAAAATATGATCATAAAGCTATTAATGCGTGGATGCAAAACATCTGTAACATACAAAAGAAGGAAGTGAAATAAAGAAAACTGTATTTAGTCTAGTGCTCTCACTACAAAGCCCGTCATTCATCAGAAAACACAATAATGTGGCTTACCCGATGGCAAAAACAAAAATATGATCATAAAACAATTAACTTGAGGATTCAAAACATTTATAATACACAGAACAGTGAAGTGAAATAGAAAACATTGCTATTTGAAACATTTTGTGTAAAACCTGACTTCACTTATATTCATCACATCAGATTTCAAAACATCACACAATGTCTCCTAATGGTGGTAGTTATATCAGTTATTTCAACATGAAGATACTAATGTGGTATTTCTAACTACTTTGGAGACATTGTACAATCCCCCGTGTAGCCAAACAGCACACAGTGTCGCCTAATGGTGGTAGTTATATCAGTTATTTCAACATGAAGATACTAATGTGGTATTTCTAACTACTTTGGAGACATTGTACAATCCCCGTGTAGCCAAACAGCACACAGTGTCGCCTAATGGTGGTAGTTATATCAGTTATTTCAACATGAAGATACTAATGTGGTATTTCTAACTACTTTGTAGACATTGTACAATCCCCCCGTGTAGCCAAACATCACACAATGTCTCCTAATGGTGGTAGTTATATCAGTTATTTCAACATGGAGATACTAATGTGGTATTTCTAACTACTTTGTAGACATTGTACAATCCCCCCGTGTAGCCAAACATCACACAATGTCTCCTAATGGTGGTAGTTATATCAGTTATTTCAACATGGAGATACTAATGTGGTATTTCTAACTACTTTGGAGACAGTGTACAATCACCCCGTGTAGCCAAACATCACACAATGTCTCCTAATGGTGGTAGTTATATCAGTTATTTCAACATGAAGATACTAATGTGGTATTTCTAACTACTTTGGAGACATTGTACAATCCCCCCGTGTAGCCAAACATCACACAATGTCTCCTAATGGTGGTAGTTATATCAGTTATTTCAACATGAAGATACTAATGTGGTATTTCTAACTACTTTGGAGACATTGTACAATCCCCCCGTGTAGCCAAACATCACACAATGTCTCCTAATGGTGGTAGTTATATCAGTTATTTCAACATGAAGACACTAATGTGGTAATTCTAACTACTTTGTAGACATTTTACAATCCCCTCGTGTAGCCAAACATCACATTTAGCAAACTTCGCTACTTTTTGTAAACATGAAACAGGAATCAAACCGGACCCTTCTACGTCCGCTTCGCTGAGTAACGAAGAAGTGATTGAAACGACTGGTTTAAATCTCTCTGTTACACTGTAACGTCACACAGTCTCATGTCTGGCGTGTTTTCTATGTCAGCGCATCGTGAATCAGAGACTTCTTTGTGTCAGTGATGTCGATGTCCTCACCGCTGACCAGCTTCATGTTGACAGTGGTGGGATTTGGCAGCGGCCAAACAGCAAACATGGGGTACAGGTCTTCCGTGAACATCTCGTCAAACTTGGCTAAAACAATCTCTCTGTTCAAGTCGATAAATGCGAGTCTTCCCCTCGCCACATCCAGCACAACGCCATAGCGGAGGGTGGGCTGTGTGCCGGGAGTGTAGGACATGGTGTTCTGCTGACACTCGCCCTGCTCACCCTCCCTGTACACCGTGGTACAGACTCTTCCCTCGTGTCTGTAACAGTCCCCTACACTGACACACCAGGAGCGACGCTGATCAGAAACCCACCGCTCCCTGTCCACCTGTCCTGCCTCACTCACCCCCATCTCCAGAAAAGGCCACCACCACACACCTCCCCTCACCGCACCCTCCCTGGTGAGTGTCTCCCAGTATCTAGATGTGCTGTATCCTGGGGTGAGAGTGGATGGGGTGGATAAAGGGGGATGGGGGTGGAAGTACAGGTCCCACGATACACCTGTAACCTGTGCCTCTCCTGATCTGACGGTGTGTGGGACTGTGAGTTGATCAAATCACCGTCTGAAGTTACGTGGCACCACATTGTGTTTGCTCGTGCGGCGTCCAGATGTAGTTTAGGACCTGAAAATACAGATTGAGTTTGTTGTGAGACGAGTTTATGCATGTGATTATCTTTAAACAGCTGAATGTTCCAATGTGATTATCTGTAAAAAGCTGAATGTTCCAATGTGATTATCTGTAAACAGCTGAATCTTCCTATGTGATTATCTGAAAACAGCTGAATGTTCCAATGTGATTATCTGTAAACAGCTGAATTTTCCTATGTGATTATCTGAAAACAGCTGAATGTTCCAATGTGATTATCTGTAAACAGCTGAATGTTCCAATGTGAGTATCTGTAAACAGCTGAATGTTCCAATGTGAGTATCTGTGAACAGCTGAATGTTCCAATGTGAGTATCTCTGAACAGCGCGCTGAATGTGCGACTGTGAGTTTCTCCAGTTGCCAACTTGGTGGTTACTGCCACCAAGGACGTATATACGTCTTTGCTGTAACACATAACAGAATAAATGTACTGTAAAACTATTTGTATGTGAATTCTACATGTATTTCAAACAAAGTTACGTGATTTAATAAACAAATAAATACTGAATACAACTATTTTGACAAATTTTTGTTCCGCCCTGCGATGTGATGTTGAAGACAGACGTCGAGGCGCTTCGTCAAAATATACAGAAATATTTACATAAATCACGATTAAAGTAATAGTGTGGGAATTCTGAACTTCTCTAGTGCAATATGGAATATAATAAAACAGAAAACAAAGTCAAGTGAAGACATTTTGACATCTCTAACAGACAACAGACAACATATGAACGGGCAACTTCTATGTCCGCTTCAGTCACTTTCACAGATACAGCGTCACGCTGGGCGGAGAGGCTGGACTGTGTACTGGGGGAAATGGCGGGATGTACGGTTGTAACTATACGTATAGGAAGTCTAAATGGTGGTTACACATAGATACATCCATTAATACGTAAATAAACATGTAACTAATATATTTCAACATGTACTTCCAACAGGGAGTGTTTTGTCTGTCGCCGCTGATGTTAGAAAGCAGACACTGACAGAATCTGATTATAAAATAATACGTCATATACATATTGCCCCATTTAATATATGTTAATGTCTGTGAAAGGTTATTTATCTTAACTATTGCAAACATCAAGTTATTTCGTTTTGTTTCTCTTTGCTGATGTGCCCCAAGTTTGTCCTCTTCATGGACCTTTTGAGGGGCGGTGGGGTGGCCTAGTGGTTAAAGCATTCTCTCGTCATGCTGAAGACCCAAGTTCGAATGCACACATGGGTACAATGTGTGACGCCCATTTCTGGTGTCCCCCGCCGAGATATTGGTGGAATAGTGCTAAAAGCGGCGTAAAACTAAACTCACTCACTCATGGACTTCTATTTTTAAAAGTATCTTTTAAATAAGACATATTTTATTAAGATATATGTTATGAAGGATTCAAGAAATTTCTGGCTCGACTCTGAATGTAAAATGTCAGTTTCGAAGAAATAGCACTTCGCTAAAACGTACTGTTGATTTCTGCTGTCAAATGATAGTTTCTACAATCCTAAACAATGAATAGGAGTCTGTATACACCGATATACCGTTCTAACAATATGTAGGTGAATTTTTAATGATGATTACACATAAATACGTTCACTAACGCATGAAAAGCCTTTGAACTAACATATTTCTACATTCGTTATCAGACTTGTTTGTCTATATATCGCCGCTGGCATGTTAGAAAACACACCGACAGTTTGATTGTACAATACCAAATGACTATCAATTCCCTTCATTTAACCGATGTCTGAGATGATGTTTTGATTGAAAAAATGTTTTGTTTTGTTTTGTTTGTTTTTTAAAAAAAGAAGTAAAGTAACAACTGTACAAGGTCATATTTATGTGATTTAATCGCTATTCGGCTGACTGACTAATTGATCTGAGATTTTTGGTGCGTAATCATATTTAGTGGACACTCGGCCCATTTATACGTACACGAGGTACGAACACTCAGTGCAGTGACAGTGAGAGAGGCTAACAACGACCTGTGGTTTGTCGATTTCACAAATATAAAACAAATATAATCGATCGTTGACAGGGTCACAGTCACGTGACTGCAGGTAGAGAGATTTCCACGATTCATTTCACGTTTACTGTTACTAGGCACACATGTATGTTGACTGTCACTGCTCTGATTGAGAAAATGAATACTTACCACAGATTTGTTGGTTCTACCAGAAGATATAGAAATGTTTGGATAAAGCACAGACGGCCAACAAGTGTAACAAAAGGCAACGATTGGGAAGTGGAAGGACCAGAAAGTCTGTTAATAAATTTACTGATGTTTTGTGTGTTGTTCTTCAGACGTTTGTAGTTAGTGAGTTAATATTTAACGTCACACCGGCAATATTTCAGTCATATCGTGACGAGAACAAATGTTGACGTTGGTAAAGAATATATGTTTATGATAAAAATCTGTCGTCAAAGGAGACTAAAGCTTCTAGATTATTACAGTTAGAATTACCAGAAATTTGTAAACAATTAGTGAAACTCTACCCTTTTCTATGGTTACCAAATTGAATTTGCTGATTAGGCGGACCATTTCCAAGGAAAGGGTTGAACTGGTTGTCGCCTAAACCAAGGATGAATCGGCTCGAGGGGGTAGTTTGGGATCTGTAGCCAAGTGAAAAACCTTGTAACGGCCTCTAAAACCCTGCGGGCTATGGCTGAGAGCGTTTATTCTGAACGACGGGGCAGCGTTGGCGTGGCAGTCCAAGCTTCTCAGTGTTTATTCCCGTGCATGTTTACAATACAGATATTTCTTTATTTCTTTATTTCGTGAGTGCGACGTTTCGATACAAATTCTTGAATCGTTGTCATCCTATTTGACAACGATACAATAATCTGTATAGAAACGTCGCAGTCAGGAAATAAAGAAGTTGTATCCATCATTGTTTCTACTTGTATATTATACTTCCACACTTCTAAAATTCCATTCAAAGTAGATTTGTAAGATTTGTAAGTACCCAAATGGCAATGCCCTTTGCATCCTGATTTAAGGTAACATCTCCCCCGTGCATATATCTATGAGAGTTCTTGCTGCGAAACCCACAATGATTCCCATCTATCTTAATTCCTTTGTTTATACTTCATGTGTTTGCCTATCTTAATCAATGTGTAGTTAACTGGCTTCCCCATGCTATTGCAGTACTAATTCCCATTGTACTGTAGAAACACTAACCCACACTTGTCTATGTGCCTCTCAATCTCTATTCTGTTAACTCTCTGTTCTTTCTCACTGGACACAAAGACGCACCTAACACTACAAACACCCCTAAGCCCACATATTAACACCCAAAACTTTACAAATCTTATTTATATTATAGGATATTTATATAGTGCACATACCCATGTATCTAGTAAATGCTTAAGGCGCTGAGATTTTTTTATCTTAGGAAGATTTCTTTATCAAAACAGACCTTCTAGGTCGCATATAATCTCACATAACCAACTAGTGCTAACACCCAAAAAACAACAACAACCCAACTACAACAACAACAACTAAAGAAAAATTGGCTCGACATCAATTAAAGAAAAACAACAACAATACAAATACCAATCAAACCATCCCGTTGTTCATCCCCTCTATCACTTCAAGCAAAATTTCAAAATTCATACATATATAATTATACAACCCTAACACCCCCCATTCAGCATGCCATATCGGTCAATTCACCCATTAGCCTTGCAAAATTTGCATTATGTCACAAAGCGCACGATAAATCTTCCAATCATCATCAACAGCAGCATCTTCTTCTTCTGTTCATCGCTTGCTTGATAACGGTGTAAAAAACCTACAACTTCGTTGTAATTAAGAATGTTTCCTGTGTGATCCTGAAACCTCCGCATCTCAAGATTATGTATACTAGGTGGTACTTTCTCTTACTTGAAAATTATGTATTCGACGAGGAACTAGTCATGAAGATTATGTATACGAGGAGGTACCTTCTCTCACCTGGTGATTATGTATACGAGTAGGAACTAGACATGAAGATTATGTATAGGAGGAGGTACCTTCTCTCACCTGAAGATAATGTATACTAGAAAGCACCTTCTCTCACCTGAAGATTATGTATTCAAGGAGGAACTTCTTCACCTGGTGATTATGTATACGAGGACGGACCTTCTCATCTGTAGATTATGTAAACGAGGACGGACCTTCTCTGACCTGCAGAGACTATGTATACGAGGAGGAACCTTCTCACCTGACGATGATGTATACGAGGAGGCACCTTCTCACCTGGTGATGATGTATATGAGGAGGAATCTTCTCTCACCTGAAGAATATGTATACGAGGAGGAACCTTCTCATCTGTAGATTATGTATACGAGGACGGACCTTCTCTGACCTGCAGAGACTATGTATACGAGGAGGAACCTTCTCACCTGACGATGATGTATACGAGGAGGAACCTTCTCTTACCTGAAGACTATGTATACGAGGAGGCACCTTCTCACCTGGTGATGATGTATACGAGGAGGAACCTTCTCTCACCTGAAGAATATGTATACGAGGAGGAACCTTCTCATCTGTAGATTATGTATACGAGGACGGACCTTCTCTGACCTGCAGAGACTATGTATACGAGGAGGAACCTTCTCACCTGACGATGATGTATACGAGGAGGAACCTTCTCTTACCTGAAGACTATGTATACGAGGAGGCACCTTCTCACCTGGTGATGATGTATACGAGGAGGAACCTTCTCTCACCTGAAGAATATGTATACGAGGAGGAACCTTCTCATCTGTAGATTATGTATACGAGGACGGACCTTCTCTGACCTGCAGAGACTATGTATACGAGGAGGCACCTTCTCACCTGACGATGATGTATACGAGGAGGCACCTTCTCACCTGGTGATGATGTATACGAGGAGGCACCTTCTCACCTGGTGATGATGTATACGAGGAGGCACCTTCTCACCTGGTGATGATGTATACGAGGAGGCACCTTCTTTTACCTGAAGACTATGTATACGAGGAGGAACCTTCTCACCTGGTGATGATGTATACGAGGACGGATCTTCTCTTACCTGAAGACTATGTATACAGGAGGAACCTTCTCACCTGGTGATTATGTATACGAGGACGGACCTTCTCTCACCTGAAGAGTATGTATACGAGGAGGAACCTTCTCACCTGGTGATGATGTACACGAGGACTGACCTTCTCTTACCTGAAGACTATGTATACGAGGAGGAACCTTCTCACCTGGTGATGATGTATACGAGGAGGAACCTTCTCTCACCTGAAGAATATGTATACGAGGAGGCACCTTCGTTTACCTGAAGACTATGTATACGAGGAGGAACCTTCTCACCTGGTGATTATGCATACGAGGACGGACCTTCTCTTACCTGAAGACTATGTATACGAGGAGGAACCTTCTGACCTGGTGATTATGTATACGAGGACGGACCTTCTCTTACCTGAAGATTATGCATACGAGGACGGACCTTCTCTTACCTAAAGATCATGAATACGAGGAGGCACCTTCTCTCACCGAAAGATCATGAATACGAGGAGGCACCTTCTCTTACCTGAAGACTATGTATACGAGGACGGACCTTCCCATACCTGAAGACTATGTATACGATGAGGAACCTTCTCACATTGAGATTATGTATACGAGGAGGTACCTTCTCTCACCTGAAGATTATTTATACCAGGAGGCACCTTCTCTCACCTAAAGATTATGTATGATTATGACTATGTGTAAGATTGTGTACACAAGCACCTCCTCTTACCTAAAGATTATGTAAACGAGGAGACACATTCTCTCACATGAAGATTATGTACACAAGCAGGAACCTTGTGTCACCCGAAGCTTATGTATATGGGTCGAGAGTTCTTATCTGAAGATAATGTACATGAGCAGGAACCTGACATATTACCCAGCGAATGCAATGAACCTGTGCGCATTCACGTGCACTATGAACTGAACCTATGTGGATACATCAGAAACAGCGCCAACTGTCTGAACTCAGCTCAAGTGAGCTCATTAAAAACAATGCCAACTGCATGAACTCAGCTCAAGTGAGCTCATTAGAAACAGCGCCAACTGCATGAACTCAGCTCAAGTGAGCTCATTAAAAACAATGCCAACTGTCTGAACTCAGCTCAAGTGAGCTCATTAGAAACAATGCCAACTGTCTGAACTCAGCTCAAGTGAGCTCATTAGAAACAATGCCAACTGTCTGAACTCAGCTCAAGTGAGCTCATTAGAAACAATGCCAACTGTCTGAACTGAGCTCAAGTGAGCTCATTAGAAACAGCGCCAACTGTATGAACTCAGCTCAAGTGAGCTCATTAGAAACAGCGCCAACTGTCTGAACTCAGCTCAAGTGAGCTCATTAGAAACAGCGCCAACTGTCTGAACTCAGCTCAAGTGAGCTCATTAGAAACAGCGCCAACTGTCTGAACTCAGCTCAAGTGAGCTCATTAGAAACAACGCCAACTGTATGAACTCAGCTCAAGTGAGCTCATTAGAAACAACGCCAACTGTATGAACTGAATCCCTGTGCATACATCAGAAAGAACTCTGACAGTCTGAACAGATCCCATGAATACATCAGAAACTATGCCAACTGTATGAACTGAACTCAAGTTGAATCATTAGAAACAACACTAGTTTTATGAACAGAACCCAAGGGGATGCATCAGTTACTACGCTTGCTGCCGGAACAGAACCCATGTGGATGTATAAGAAACAATGTTATGTGTATGACATGGATGCATCAGAAACAACACCAACCGTCTGAACCTATCTTAAGTGGATACATCAAATAACAGAACCTATGCGGGTTCATTAGAAATAACGCTGACTGCATGGACTGAACCCAAGCGGATGCATCACAAACACCGGCGACTGTATGAACTCAACCCAAGTGGATGCATCACAGACAACGCTGACTGCATGAAGTGAACCCAAGTGGGTGCATCACAAACACCGGCCACTGTATGAACAGAACCCAAGTCGATGCATCACAAACAACGCTGACTGCATGAACTGAACCCTAGTGGGTGCATCACAAACACGGGCGACTGTATGAACTGAACCCAAGCGGATGCATCACAAACACGGGCGACTGTCTGAACTAAACCCTAGTGGATGCATCACAAACACGGGCGACTGTATGAACAGAACTCAAGTGGATGCATCACAAACACCGGCGACTGTATGAACTGAACCCAAGTGGATGCATCACAAACAACGCTGACTGTATGAACTCAACCCAAGTGGATGCATCACAAACACGGGCGACTGTATGAACTGAACCCAAGCGGATGCATCACAAACACGGGCGACTGTCTGAACTAAACCCTAGTGGATGCATCACAAACACGGGCGACTGTATGAACAGAACTCAAGTGGATGCATCACAAACACCGGTGACTGTATGAACTGAACCCAAGTGGATGCATCACAAACAACGCTGACTGTATGAACTGAACCCAAGTGGATGTATCACAAACACCGGCGACTGTTTTAACTGAACCCAAGTGGATGCATCACAAACAGCGGCGACTGTATAAAGTGAACCCAAGTGGATGAATCACAAACACGGGCGACTGTATGAAGTGAACCAAAGTGGATGCATCACAAACACGGGCGACTGTATGAAGTGAACCAAAGTGGATGCATCACAAACACGGGCGACTGTATGAACTCAACCCAAGTGGATGCATCACAAACACCGGCGACTGTATGAACTGAACCCAAGTGGATGCATCACAAACACCGGCGACTGTATGAACTGAACCCAAGTGGATGAATCACAAACACCGGCGACTATATAAAGTGAACCCAAGTGGATGCATCACAAACACCGGCGACTGTATGAAGTGAACCCAAGTGGATGCATCACAAACACGGGCGACTGTCTGAACTCAACCCAAGTGGATGCGTCACAAACACCGGTGACTGTATGAAGTGAACCCAAGTGGATACATCACAAACACCGGCGACTGTATGAAGTGAACCCAAGTGGATACATCACAAAAACGGGCGACTGTATGAAAATACCCCAAATCATGGTAAAGTGTGTCTATCAATCTACTGTTATCGTAAACCCCCTTTCTCCTTGTTGATAAATACGGAAAATAAAAATTAGACGTAAGAAAAGAGGTTTTTAAGAAATTTTTGCTGTGTGTGTAAAAAAATCCAGATGATTAAGTCCTAAGAGAGATAGGTTTTGATCTTCCCTCTCGTGATCAACAACATAACTAATGGTGACATGAATGAATTTTGAAGGTGAAGTTCCTAATAAATGTATTCTATTTTTTAGAAAATATAAAAATCTTTTTATATAATGTTGGTCGAGTATATTTTGTATCACATTAGAAAAAAGTGAACTTACACAAAACAGGAGTTCCAATAACGTAGACAAGTCGACCACCTAAAATAACAATTCAGGCATAAAGTGACCTAAGAGTCATAGCAAAACCATGCAGACATTTAAGTATGCTATAGATGTAGCATCTCTCTCATAAACAAAAGATGTCAGAAACTTTTATTCGCAAAATCTGAACAAAACATTGTAAAGACGAACATTATTTTGTAATGTTCCGAAATAGTAAATGGAGCAGACAGAAATGTGCTTTCAACGCATTTGCGATTTAATACTTCCTTACACGAAGACACTACCTACGAACTGTTATTTATCAATTCAAATTCTTTACCCTGACTTTTAACATTTTTCAAAATGTTCTGTGTTCAGTATTATACCAACCTTGCTCCATAGACAGAAGACTTCCTTCCATGGAAGCTATGGCTACCTTATCCTCTGCAATCATCTGTATGGCAAAAGTTACATGTTAACTACCGGGAGCGTGCACATGAAAATCAGATAGGACGATAAATTAAAACAGTATTTAAACGTTCAAACAATTGTAACAAGATTCTATAAAACTCTTGGATGCTACATGCAAGCGAATTATCAAATTCTTATGAAAATGATAATGGTAAACATTACACTGGTGTGATCTACATGCACGCCACAAAGTAACATTATTAGTAGCATAGCATGAAAACTAGCGGTTTTTGTAAAAACAAGTATACAAAAGAAATGTAACTCCAGGACTACGTAAGAAATATTTTTAGCAACTGGACATGACTTATACAGTCTACAACTTTTAAATTATAGCATATCAAATATTCAATTGGAAATTGTAATCATCACTCCAAAGATTGAACAATGTTATTGCTAAATTTGAACATACAAATTACTCTCCATGCAGAACAACAAATTCCACAATCAGTTGTTAAACAGTTACTTACTCTTCCAAGGATTGCGTACAGAGGTGTTCTGCCAAGTTTTCCCTGTTGAAACTGCCGTATTTGCAGAACATGACTTGTCTGTTTTTGTTTCCTTTGAATGTCAGTACCTAGGTACAATGTATGAAGCTGACTCTATGAGTAAAATACATCATGCTGATCAGCGATGTAATCAAACCTACACCTGACAAACATCTGGTTGATAAGTTATATCGGAATAACATCCCTTCAATATGTCCAACTGCATGGACTACTTGAGAATACCAGCCACAAAAAAACGTACCATAACCACGCAAATTGTATGCAATGAGTACGTTCACCTTTCCGACTATATCACACGCAGGTATTTAAGCCTAGCTTAAATACTAGGGGTCACTCTTGAGGGGGAAACAACTATTGCGATAGCAATAGTCTATTGCGACCAGCTATTGCAATAGTTGTGTTTTTTTCTTTGCATCTTCCCATTTAAAGTCATTTCCCAAATGAATGTATTGTTTATATGAAATATATACAAGCTGAAGTAGTTTCAGTCGCTTTTAATAACTGACAAGAAACTTGAAGCCCTGGGTCTCCTTTCACGAAGCAACCTTTCCTACGGTTAACTTTAACTCCCATTCTTTAACAATGCACTAAGGTTACCTTTGTGACTTACGATCACCTTAGTGCTTCGTGAAAGGAGGTCCAGATCAAGTAAACAGTTCAAACATAAACTCAATGAAGCTGCAAGTGTGCTCCAAAACATCCTGTATTTTGCGCTGCATGTTTATCGACGGAAGTCAATCACTGAACTATCAATAGTCACACATACTATCGACGCATCGATTAATTGCTATCGGAGACTCAACAATTGGAATCAATAGTTTGATGCATTACATACAGTCATTACAATGGCCTATCTTTCACCTACATAACTTCCAATATTGTTATCGCGTGTACATAGATATATTATCTAAGAACAAATAGTTACCAAGTACAGCTATTGAAGGAGAATTTGCACAATGCGCAGTTCCTAGTAGAATTCTTTCAAAATTATGAAAAAGTGATATTTGAACATCAAAAGACAACATAAAATAACTATTGTCATATTTACCTGGGAAGTCAGTTGGTATCTCAGAAGAACCTCCGAACAGCGGATGGTCATGGCATTCATAATCAGTCTGTAAAAGCAACGCGTTTCTGTGAAACAAATCAACATCTTAACAGAGATACTGTCATGAGGTAAGAGCTCATAACCGTCCTTGTGATGATTAAGTTAATCCCCAGCAACCCAAATACCTTTCTACTGACACATGTTGTAAATCTGTCATCCCTTTTTCTTGATACCAACACAACACTTACCGTATCAAGTCTTGACCGTTGCTCTTTAAACATTGACAGGCTGCCAATGTTTCGGCTCAAGTAACGTACTGTGTTTTGCCACTCAGCTGAAGAATGAAAAGGAATATGGTACATCACCTTCGTAACTTCACATTTCAATAGGTGCTGAATGATCAAGGATTGAATGTATTCAAATTCCATACCTGTATATAGAGGACTAAGCTGCATAATTTTGTTGTCCTTCTCCTGAAACGATCAGAAAATATTAGCCGTCCTCAATTGCACACACAGTTTCCTTATTGGTAGTCTGTATTCCAGGTTATACTTTTGAGTCAAGTATGTATCTAGTAGTGATTGTGTTAAAAAATGTTATTGTAATCCTGCAACTGCAGTTGTTAAGGTCATATATGTTTTAAACATGTACAGATCTGTTCAATGGTTTCCAGTAACAAAGACAACCGATTTTTATTCCGAAGTGTATCATGCGTTTATCATAGAAATAATAGAAACATTGTACAAAATAGTCACTTAGTGTTTCATCTGCTAAAATGTCTAGAAACATGTTTTAAGATTTTGTTTTGTATACTGAATTTAATTTAACAACGTAAAATGTGTTACCTTTTCAACGATATCCAGGTCTTCTGTAATCTTCTCAACATCCTCAAAACCTGCAGGACGATTGAACCACAAATAAACCCTATTGTTAGTTTTAGAATTTGTAAAAATAAGTAGTGAATAAGAATAACTCTTACTCATTTCAGTCAACATAATATGCCAACACAACATCAGTATTAATGAGACATTCGAACTTGGCAACTTAGAATCAATCAATGGCATGAACCATCTGCTGATGATTGCATGGCCACTGAAAAAGAACAAGGTTGATCTGTAATTTAAGATACTGGTTTTAAAATGTGTAACATTGATACTTGGCGTTGACCATGTCAGGATTAATGAGTCGCAATAGTAAATCATATTAACTTCTTAATTGTATTATATCATATTGTTATGATATAACGTCTGTGATGGTGACCGTGGCATTTTCTCTTGGAACTCCTACTTACTTCTAGTTAAGCCTACTTTGTAGATTCATTTTAGAAATAGTTTTCTGCAAGTATGACTGTAGTGATCATCAGGAATGTGAAACAACACTCAATTGTAGTCGCCTTTGGACAATGTCTCAAAGCCTCACATCACTTACACTCATGAGTTTCCTCCAGTGTTGTTATCTGAGAGCCTGATCTTATTGACGAGACGAGCAAAGATAAATCCTCTGAGTCCATTGATGGTGTAACAGAAGCATAGTCCACCAGAGAGGCACGTGGAACACTGTCCATCAAAGGCTGAAACAAAACCCACAACAAATTACTATTTGAATACGAGTTGTGCAATTGCCTGTACTACAGTGACAAACAAGCATTCAGCCTTCAAGACAAGTACATGCAGTAGCTATATCTTGTTTACGCATGAATGACATACCTCCCTCTTTCACTGTAATTATTGTTTAGATATTTCACATTGTTGCCAAAACGTGTTTTTCCACAACTTTTGTGAAACAAACCCTAAGCATATGCAAGCAGCTAGAGTACTACCGGTAAAGTGTATCAGTTGAGTTGGGTAGAATAGGGTGGTCCTCAACCACTAAATAAATACCCCTCCTTGTGACCCGATCTCTAATTTCATCCATTTGCAGGACATGACATGCAGTACTCCATGATGATGGGATGTCGAGCGATTGTATAACCATTGTTACATGTTGAACAAAAAGTTAACCAGAAATCATTTCAGAGTGAAACAAACAACAAAGAAGAGTTTGCAGTTAACAATTGTATTCTGAAATTAACTAAGTTTAAAAACTAAAACTGCGTTTATCATAGAAATAATAGAAACATTGTACAAAATAGTCACTTAGTGTTTCATCTGCTAAAATGTCTAGAAACATGTTTTTAAGATTTTGTTTTGTATACTGAATTTAATTTAACAACGTAAAATGTGTTACCTTTTCAACGATATCCAGGTCTTCTGTAATCTTCTCAACATCCTCAGAACCTGCAGGACGATTGAACCACAAATAAACCCTATTGTTAGTTTTAGAATTTGTACAAATAAGAAGTGAATAAGAATAACTCTTGCTCATTTCAGTCAACATAATATGCCAACACAACATCAGTATTAATGAGACATTCGAACTTGGCAACTTAGAATCAATCAATGGCATGAACCATCTGCTGATGATTGCATGGCCACTGAAAAAGAACAAGGTTGATCTGTAATTTAAGATACTGGTTTTAAAATGTGTAACATTGATACTTGGCGTTGACCATGTCAGGATTAATGAGTGAGTGAGTGAGTTTAGTTTTACGCCGCACTCAGCAATATTCCAGCTATATGGCGGCGGTCTGTAAATAATCGAGTCTGGACCAGACAATCCAGTGATCAACAGCATGAGCATCGATCTGCGCAATTGGGAACCGATGACATGTGTCAACCAAGTCAGCGAAACTGACCACCCGATCCCGTTAGTCGCCTCTTACGACAAGATAGTCGCCTTTTTATGGCAAGCACATGGGTTGCTGAAGACCTATTCTACCCCGGATCTTCACGGGTCGTCAGGATTAATGAGTCGCAATAGTGAATCATATTAGCTTCTTAATTGTATTATATCATATTGTTATGATATAACGTCTGTGATGGTGACCGTGGCATTTTCTCTTGGAACTCCTACTTACTTCTAGTTAAGCCTACTTTGTAGATTCATTTTAGAAATAGTTTTCTGCAAGTATGACTGTAGTGATCATCAGGAATGTGAAACAACACTCAATTGTAGTCGCCTTTGGACAATGTCTCAAAGCCTCACATCACTTACACTCATGAGTTTCCTCCAGTGTTGTTATCTGAGAGCCTGATCTTATTGACGAGACGAGCAAAGATAAATCCTCTGGGGAGACCTGTGAACTAAGAGATTCACCATCCTCCAGTGATGTCTCAGAAACCGATTCCTTTAGTGAGTCCATTGATGGTGTAACAGAAGCATAGTCCACCAGAGAGGCACGTGGAACACTGTCCATCAAAGGCTGAAACAAAACCCACAACAAATTACTATTTGAATACGAGTTGTGCAATTGCCTGTACTACAGTGACAAACAAGCATTCAGCCTTCAAGACAAGTACATGCAGTAGCTATATCTTGTTTACGCATGAATGACATACCTCCCTTTTTTAACCGTAATTATTGTTTAGATATTTCACATTGTTGCCAAAACGTGTTATTCCACAACTTTTGTGAAACAAACCCTAAGCATCTGCAAGCAGCTAGAGTACTACCGGTAAAGTGTATCAGTTGAGTTGGGTAGAATAGGGTGGTCCTCAACCACTAAATAAATACCCCTCCTTGTGACCCGATCTCTAATTTCATCCATTTGCAGGACATGACATGCAGTACTCCATGATGATGGGATGTCGAGCGATTGTATAACCATTGTTACATGTTGAACAAAAAGTTAACCAGAAATCATTTCAGAGTGAAACAAACAACAAAGAAGAGTTTGCAGTTAACAATTGTATTCTGAAATTAACTAAGTTTACAAACTAAAACTGATTTCTTCAAGGGAATCTACAGTGGCAGTACAAAAACTATTTTCACCTACATTTCATCAATGTATATGGCTCATTTATGAGTCTTGTTGATGAAGCTAACTCTGAAAGGGTTTTCGGGAATGCAACCGATCGAACACCCAGGGCATGCTGGTCTGTAATCTGTGAAACTTTGGCCAGTCAATCAATCAAATCAATCAATCAAATCAGACATTTGTATAGCGCTACATATCCAGAGTCCTGCTCATGTGCGCTTAGTCGAGTGCTCGTTTGAAGAGAATGGTTTTGAGACAAGATCGGAAACTGTGATATTTTTCGATTTCTGACATTTTCAGGTAATCCACTCCAGAGTACAGCACCTGCTCTGCTCAATGTTCTGTCCCCGTATGTTGTAGTTCAGCCAGATGGAACATCTAAGCTTTGCTGACTAGCTGATCTGAGTGACCAGTGCCATAAGGAATCAGGTCTTCCAAGCAATATGAGGCTGAGGTTTTTTCCATGGGTTCCAACGTATGATGTAATAATAGTTTCGTTAAACCACAAATAAAATTCCGCAGTTAGGCATTGTTTGGGGATATCCTCTAGATCAAATGCTCATAACATACTGTTAAGACATACTGTCTATAGTCATATAAACAGATTTGAAGCTCTGGGTGTTTGCGTAACAGCAGAGTAAACTTCATTTAAAAATCCTGCTGACGTGAGGTGTTGCAGGATAGTTCCAATACGTGTAGGTTCAGCTGTTGTAGAATGCGATGGAACATGTTTTACTTCGGCTGTCTGAGAAGTGTAGGCCACTGAGGAAGACGCAGTTGTTGGTCTTCAAAGTAGAGACGGTAGGTCTGAGAACCATGATCGTGCCGGCCATGTTGGTGCCACCAGAAACATCATCATGTGATGGTTCCTGTCCTTGACAAGATGAGTGAGTGAGTCATATCGGCAGAATTTCAGCCATATCGTGACTATATCAAGTTATATGTATATAATAATTATAGGTAATTATGAGGTAAATTACAAAACCTCCCAACGAAGGGCAATAAAACAACTAGTTTATCACAGATGCATTTAAATAGCAATTAATTTTTAAACATTTTAACTTAGCAAGATGATATAATATAAAAACAGGCTATAGATAGCCAACAACTGAAGGTAGATCACAATAGCTGATCTTGACAAGGACTTGTGGTGTGAGTGCTGTCGGTGGAAAGGCATGATATCTACTGCATATGCTTGAAGATCTGGGACAAGACTGATATAAGTCGGCAACTGATTGCTGAGTGATATCGCGAAAAGATCTATGCGATCTATGCTGTTCCTATTTGATCGTTATCTGCCTGAAAGCATCCAAATTAAGTGTCCATTCTGTCGTTGTCCATGTGTGATAACGCGCGTATGCAAGGATGTTTATCTTTCCTGGGATGTGTCTGGCCACTGTGATGCAATCCTGACTGTCCACTAGATCGTAAAGTTCACTCATATGTTTCATAAGGTTTTGGGATCGGGCTCCCCCATGTCTGTTAATATAGACAACTATCATGCTGTTGTCTGTGACAACTAGAAGTTGGAAATTCCTGAGTATTAGTGCCCAGTGTTAGATGGCTAATAAGACGTCTCTGGACTGGTGAATGTAACTCCCAAAAGACTTGGGCCCCTTTTCACAAAGCTATCGTATCGCCACGACTGTCGTAAGTCTATGTTATAGTATAGGAAGTTCGACAGTCGTAGCGATACGATAGCTTTGTGAAACGGGGCCCTGATCTTCTCTTGTCTTATAGATGATCTCCCCAACCTGTGATTGTAGCATCTGTGAAGAAATGTCGATCTGGTGACAACGTCCTGATTGGAGTCATGTGTATGACATTATCAGAGTTTATCACCCATGCAAGGTCCTTGTGCACAAGATCCGTAGGTGTTTTGACAGAGTCTAGCTGTTTTCCTCTATGTTGACTGATCCAATTCTGAATGGATCTGAGTTGCAGCCGGCCTCTAAATGTTAGATCCTGCATAGATGTGAGAGCTCCTAGTAGCAACATCCATTGCCATAGAGTGTGTGGAGATTTCTGGAACTTTGATAAACTGGTTGTATCATTCTAATGGTGTTCCAACGGTGGATAAACAATATCCCGATGAGTGTTGAATATGGCCCTATATATTTCTGTTCCTTCCTGGGCAGATTCCTTCCAGTTCTGATTTTGCTGGATGCACAAGGAACTAGGAAGAAATCTCTCAGATATTGGGAGTCGTCTAGAGTCAACATCAACACTTGGAGACAGGAAATCATCATATATCCATGAATATCTGTATATGGAGATACACCAGTTCTAGGAATGTTATAATTGTAAATAGCCATGGAACCACTGATATTCCCATCAGTAGAACTCTGAGCTGGAATAGTCTCCAAGGGACAGCAAAGACATTTTTGAGAGGTTGCATGGATAGGTACGTGTAGATATGTGTATTTCAAATATCTCGGGTGCTGTATGGCATCGTCTGTGTGTACTCCATCTGAAACTTGGTTGGTCATCTCAGTTATCCCGGTTCTGGATCTTCATATCGATGATCATTCTGAGTTCTGTTGAATCCTTCTTGGGATCCAGAAATAACGGAGAGAAGAATCCTTGCCCAGGATCCACATGTTTCAACTGGTCCACCCACTGGGCCCTGGAATACATCCAGCATAGGCAGGCAACTGTTTCTGAACTAGGGAGGAACTATGTTTCTGAGTCCTTGCTACTGCTGTCTGGGAAGTCTTGCCTGTAGCCTCTGAATAGGGTCAAGTCCCCAAAATTTCTTCTGAGAGCCCGCATGACCTGCTCCCTGTGGGGTCCTTGACAATAGGACTTACCTGGCTGGAGCCTCAAGTGCCATGAGGAAACTGAAGTTGAGAAACTTACTATCCTCTTCCAAGTTGCAACTTCATCTGCGAAAGTGTATCTGGCTTAGGGTTTGACTTAAAGGCCATTGACACCAGCTCCGAACATGGCGTCTTCACATATTTGCCACATTCGCCATGAGGATCGTGAGTCGACATACGCTTACCACAAATTAAAAAAAGAAATTAACCCAAAGGGGAAAGGTGAAATATATTTGCTGCCTTTAGATTTACCAATCTTAAAGAGAATCTTGGAAATTTTGAACAATTTATGAAGTCTCCCCACGCCCGTTGTGGGGAGAGAACTCCAGTGGATAGAGCGTGGGAAGACCACTATGAAGTAAGACTACACAACATGATGAGTGTTTATTTTATTTCAAGAAACATGTATCGGGAAATAAGGCAATCATGTGTGAGAGGGAAGTATCCGTAAGAATTGTTTCTGTTCAATATGAGTTTGATAGTTAAATACTAATAAAACATCGGTAGGTTAACGCACATACAGAGGCAGATTCAGTGGTTTCATCTATAGTTTAGGCAAACGTCATTGAACATAGATATGAACAGTCTTCTACCTCTGAATTACGATAACCCTGTGGGATAAAATGCTTGGTTGAATAACAAATATGTTTTTTACTTCATAGGAACATTTGACGATTGTTACGTTAGAATATTATGAGGCATTTAGTTACCTTGATTCATACTAATTAACCCACTTGTATTTATCTGAGATGACGTCCAAAAAATCCAAACATACCGGTTTGGGCTTTTGTCCAGAATATTTCTTCCTCTTCTGGATTCCCGTCACTGCAGAAACAGAAGGTATGAACATAGGAAAATATTCTGCTTGAATTTCTCGAACATATTCAATTAAGAGTGTCAATTTTGAATACTTTGTTTTAAAATATGGGATTAGTTAATCACATTCATACACTGTATTTAGTCTTGCAACAATGAAAACATCCATACAGCCAAAGTATTCATTCACAGTGCATGATGTAGAATCTTAGCTGTCCACCATGTAACGACTACTATAAGACTACAACTGTCATAGAGGCATTTCCATTCTTTGGTCCGTTCCCAGGTCAGAATTAGTTAGTGTCCAAACCACATACAAAGTAGAGCTGATCGTCATTTCTGTTTTTATGCAATGCGTTGTTTCTTTTTTGTTTTTCGGGCTAGTAATATGAATAATAATCTTGCCTGAAACTTCTTGGCGTGTATTTTGGCATCATGACCTCAGATAATTGAAAGTGATGTTCAATGAAGCATACAAGTGCAGTGTGTGAACAAGCTATTCCATTTTTCAGAGGAAAACTACTACGTGCCCGAGCCAACATACCAACAAGGGACATTACCCAATGAATATATGACATCAAATCACACTGATATCTGAGGACATTCCAAATCCAAGCAAACACCCTTGAACATTGATTCAAAGTTGATTTAAAAATCCATGTTCCCACATGTTCAACTGTTTGAGACCTTTCATACCTTTTTTTCGAAGAGATCCTAATGCCTTGCTGAAGAACCCCTTAGGCTTTTCTTCAATGAACTGTTCTGTAGGTTCAGATGCTGAAACATCGACGGCTGATGGCTTGTGGCGATCTAAACATTAATGACGATAGAGTCAATGTATGCGTTACAAACTGTGGTCCGATGATGTTATCTTGCTTGATAACAATCATTATTGGTTTATCTATAAGAAATATCTGTCACAAAGGACAGTAACACATTAGCAAGTTATCACAGTTTGAGTCTAAAAACTAACCATTTCAAATGATAAAAGATTTTATTCAACACAAAGATCAAAATTACACGTAATGCCAGTAAAATACGAGTTATAGACCACCAGTCACCAAAGCTAGACCACCTTACTGGGGATCATGGGGACTTACAGTACTTTGGCTTCCTGCATAAACCCCATCAGGACTAAAGCCATCACTTTGGTCACTGGCAGTTGTAGAAAAAACTAGCCATTAATTAAAATATGTCAACATATGTAAATATATAATTCTGGTTGTCTGCAGAGTACTGCAATACCATTAAGCTGCTATCATCAGAGGACAATCTTTTTACAATACATCAACCCCATTAAATTGCACTGCTATACATAATATTATTATTCAACCATAGTTAAAATACATTGATTCAAAGGCTGTGGAACATCCTATCTCTTTTACAAAACCCAGATTTAAATGAAAATTTATGTTGTTTAAAAATCCTTTAAATTTGAAACTTGGTAAAAAGTATCCCTTGTGAGAGAAACTTCTACACTCTAAAGCAAAACTGTTATTCTCTCATCACATGGGATACAAAACAGAGGATCCTCTCCTTTCAACTGATATCGCATTACGACATCATCTTGTCCCGACTGACATCCCAAGTTGATATAACCTAAAGAGGTTTTGATTTCATGAAGTACTGCTTGGGTGTTCCATTTTGTTTGCATTAAGTGCCGGCAATATTCTCTGATATAAGGTTTAAATCAGATAATGATATCAACATGGGGAAGACTGATTTGCCGACATGACTCGGTAACCAACCACAACAAGATGTCGAATTGGCCAGAAGAAAGATCATTGTATATCTGTAAGGTTTCAAGTACAAGTGGATGACCGTAGGATATATTTTGCAGTGCCCGAAGGCATGACAGGGAATCAGAAAAGATAATAAATTGTTTACTGTTGGATTGCTGCTGAATGTACTCCAAAATTGTCAGCATAATGAGTTTAAAATTTAACGTAGGAATATGACATTTTTGCCAAAGATGTTTTATGAATATAAATGTGGTAGAAATACGTGGTCTCATGTACCCTCTGAGGAGGCCAATCATTCTACGTTACTTCAACCACCCTTGAAGGATTGCGCCACTAAAAATCCCAGTCGTACATTTATACTACCATTTATCAAATACAATATCTATCAATACATTTATCTATTTACAAAACATATTGTTCCAAATTTATCTAACTTACTGAACATGGTCAAAAAAGTCATTCATTGTTTTAAAACTGAATATTTATCCCTTGTGATGGAAAAATCAATACAGTCAAACAGCCATCATGCTTGCCCGTGATTCTTTCATTACAGGGGATACAAAACGGAGGATCCTATCCTTTTGATAAGTGTTCGTGTAGTATGGCCCATGCAACTTGATCACATAATGACGTCTTCAAATCTGGACTGACAACCCAAGTAGGTGTAGCCAATTGTTGATTTTATTAGTTGTAACTTATTTACACCTACCTTAGCGTTCCATTTCTTTTGCATTTGATCACGGATACATGCCCTAAACACAGCTTTATAATCAGTGTATAGGGTTAGAAGTGGTGTCACAGATTTGTTGAGTGCTGCCTCAGCCACAGAATCCGCCAATGCCTTACCAGAAATTCCAACATGGCTGGGTAACCAACAGAGGAAGATGTTGTATTGGCCAGTACCAAGATTACTTTATAACTCGATTATTTCAATTAAAAGTAGATGTATATTTAACAGATTTTAAAGTTTTTAATAGCCTGAAGGCACGAAAGTCTTTAAAGATTATATATTGTTTGTATTTGGGATGTTTATTAATATATTTTAAAGCTGTTAATGTGACGTTGAGCTGAAAATTGAGTTGTAATCTGATAATCTAGAAGTTATTGTTCTGGATCCAATGACAGTGGCACTGTACATGTGCCAAAATTTTGGATCCATCTGTAAACAGGGATTCGCATGTGTTATGTTTACTCTTAAATTCCTCCTATACACAGACTGAAGTCGTAGTATGGTTTGGATTAATATGAGTGATTAATATATAAGTGTAGGAGGGTAGTTTTGTCCCATCCCCACTTAGAATTGGGAACGACTTTTAACAGATCAAGTGCATTTGAAGTACTGTCGGAAATGCTAGAAAAATGCTTTTTAGCCTTAATACTTTGATAAAGGTGATACATGTACTATGTTGTCAATATATCAACTCGCCTATAGTGTACCTAATTTTTATTTCAATCTATGTAACATTCCCAAGCATTTAAAGGGCAGTTTACAGGAGAGGATATCGTACTAAAACAACAACTTAAGATTTTGTCAGAGTTCAACATCAGAAATCTGAAATAGTCTTTACATTTATGCTAATAATACAGGTGGTGTAAAAATATGAATCATATTCATGTTGAATGTTTGTGTTACTTTACTTAATTATCGTTTCTGTATTGAAGAAATATTAATATAAATGTTAAGTCTTGATAAATAAGTTTCCCATCATGCATGCACATCTTTATCACAGCGTCCACTATGGCCAACTATTTGCAGTCAATTGTTGCAAAGGTTTATAAGTTTTTTGTGCTTGTAAAAGACAGAGGTAAATCTTTCAATAGTTTAGAAAGGGTTTATTACAGAACAGCTGTTGGTATGTCTTACCAACAAGTTTACAATATTGTAAACAAATCAGACAAGACAGGGGCCGTCTCAAAAAGCAAAACCGGGACGTAAAACCATCCTTGACAACTTTGACAAGGGAGTACTTAGAAACTTTAGGAGAAGAATACTATATATTCTATGATGGGGCATTGCTATGAAGGCGTCACACCTAGTGTTTCTGTGTGTCCGTGGCACAGGGAGATCCAGTAATGCTGCTGAAGATTTTGACAAATACAAAAGACATGTGGTGTCTCTTTCACCCAATGGTTCACTGGTAATGATGTTTTCTTGGTACAGAGCTCCATTTGTCATCAGCAGCGAAATGAGGCCATCTCTGATACCCGATAGATGCGTGGGTATCTTCGACGGAACAACATTTAGTACACCTGTAACATCAGTATACATCTATTATCTCATCAGTTCGGTGACATTAAAGAGAACAACTTGTGACTATGTTTTAATAATAGCAAATCGTCGATAGGCATTTTGTCATCCTCTAACAACATTAAAGAAACACTTACCTTTCTTCACAAAGGCGTCTTTAATCTGAGTAATGCTGTGTACATCTGGATTCAAGCGAGGACGCTGAAAATCCTTGCTGTTCAAACTCACTTCTCGCCCTGGCATTTTTGTCGTATTTCCTGGAACATACTGACACAGAAACAATGAGACAAGAACCCCAGTAATAGTGCTGTGATAGAACAACAAACACAAAAACAAGGAAACTTAGTTTGATTTTAACGGTAACGATCAATTGAATCCATGATCAGCTTCATACTACCATCAAACTTTTGCCACTATGTTGAACTAGATACATTTATTATTGAATAAAGAAAGTTTGTCCACTTACCCTGCTAATTGAAGCACACGCACTGCTATTTTCAGTAACTAATCTTTATACATGAAATGATATTTTTACAAATATGCAAATCATGTTTATAGTCGAAACTTTTCCCATTTACTCAAATTAAAAAGTTACTCTGTTTTCAATTTTACGGTCCTTTATCGTTGATTTAAGACCGCTAAATGTAATTAAAAAAACAAACGCGTTTAAAAATAGATTAGCTTTATCTTCATTCTAGCACGACTGACAAGTATTTTAAACCAGACTCTTTGGCGTGCAAAAACATAGGGCTTGAAGGGGCTTTTTCAGGGAAATTGCTAAAATATCTTGGACATTTGCTTTTTTACTTCAAAAACCTCAAAGATGATGTCGGGGTTGAAATATCCGATGTCCGACATGTTTGTTTACAAACTAAAGGGTCAATGAGTTCATTGTATTCATACGCGGTGAATCGGTCACTTTATTTAGCGGTCCTTAAACTGCCATTTAAGAAGAGTTTTGATGAGCTCTCAGCCAATCAGAATCGAGTATCACACAATGTTGTGCTAGAATCATAATATTATCATTAGCAACAGTGTTGTGTTTGCCATCCCAATGAAATTTCTGCAAAATAAGCTCAAACTAGTTAGGCATTGGAATGTGTTCTCCTTTAAATAAGGACAACTGGATGTGACAGTTTGGGTGAGAGGGTGATACCCAGCGAATGTCATGGTGAAAGCTTCAGAGGTGTATTTCAGTGGTGTTGGTGGCAGAAATGCGTGAGTGTATTTTTGTATTGCATTTTGGATATTATTTCTTTGGAAGTGTGTGAATTAATTGAATATTGAATGTTTTGTATTGCATTTCGAATCACATTTTGTAAAAACTGTGAGTTTACTATTTGAATAAGAAATGTAGTATTGGGTGATATTTTGACGGGTTGTGTTAATAAAACAGAGAACACTGTCCATGGAAAACATCCGATTCGCATAAACGGAGCTGGAGTTGTGACTTGTACTGAGGAATCCACCATTACACTTTGACAACTTTGGCATTGCAGTATGAGAGGCAGAACATTTCGTATGCTACTCACGTGCCTGAGTACAGGCTTCGGGTGGTTTCCGGGAGATTCAGTTTGGGACATTGGAAATGTATTGGGAGTTGATATTGTTATCCCCACATAGTATCATGATCGTTTGTTGCTTGTATCCTGTCTACAAGAAGTTGTTTTATTATTAAAATTGGAAAGTCAGTGTCAAGTTTCCATTTTCGAAGAGTATATATTCTTGTGTAATGAAACTAAATTATATAATGCAAAACACAAATGACCAAGAAAGTTGGCAAACTTACTGACTTGTTTGTGATCCGTTCATCTACTTCA